TCCTACCCCCAAAATAGGCGGTCTTTCTCGCGTGGTACCCACGTAAGAGCCCGCCAAAGTTTTTTACGAGTAAGCTGCTAACTCGCGAACTAGAAAGGCTAGAGAGCTGAAATTTTATGAGAATGTTCTCCGTTCAAGTAGGTACTAATGAGCCCAAACCCAACCCCCGAATAAGCGTGGTACCCGCATACGGGCCCGCCAAAATTTTTCCCGCGCAAATTCATAACGCGGGGTTCTGAGATGCTAGAAGGCTGAAATTTTGAAGGAATGTTCCCCGTCCAAGTAGGTACTAATGAGCTCAAACTCAACCCTCGAGTAAACGTGGTACCCGCATACGGGCCTGCCAATATTTTTCCCGCGCGAATTCACAACTCGGGGTTCTGAGATGCTAGAAAGCTGAAATTTTGAGGGAATGTTCCCCGCCTAAGTAGGTACTAATGAACTGAAACTCAGCCCCTAGTTAAGCGTGGTACCCGCGTATGGACCCGCCAAAATTTTTTTCATGTGAGTTCTTAACTCGGAGATCTGAGAAGCTAGGGCGGTGAAATCTTAGGGTGATGTTCCCTGTCTAAGTGGGTATCAACGAGTTCAAACGCTGCCCGCGGATAAGCGTGATACCTACGTACGGGCCCTTGAAAGTTTCTTCCGGGTAAGTTGCTAACTCGGGAAAGTGAGAAGCTAGAAGACTGGAATTTTGAAGGGATGTTTCCTGGCAGTCCTGCCGGCCAGTCTGAAATTCTTTTAGCTAGAGGCATCTGCCAGAAAAATCAGTGCCGTTAGCGACAAAAATCTGCGGGGAGCCATGCAAAAAACGCGTCTTCGCATGGGCGGCCCGTACGTTGGCCAATTATTAGTTTCTCTTTCTTCCTCTTATCCGTCTTGCAAATTAGTTACATGACTATTCAAAACATGGCTGGTAGGAGGAGGCTGTACTGATGATTCTCGCTCTTACCTCCATGCATGGTTCGGTCTGTGTTTATAGCTAAGGGATGAAAATACAGGCTGCATCATAAAATCTCTTCATACACATGACATTCAAGTGAAATCCTCCTGTTCTATTCCTAACCTTAAAATTACGCAATTTAGTTATTATTTGGCAAAAGTCCAGCATTTCGAGCTCTGCTGCTTGTAAATTACAAGTAACTTAAAGATTCCATATTTACTCCTCAGATGCGCCTGGTTTTCGCGTACGACCCGGTGAAAGTTTTTTGAGGGGGGGAGGGGGAGGGTGGAAGGGACTTGTTTGGGAGCTCTGTAATAATACCACAAATATGGAACTTTGCTCAAAGGCTGTTGATGTTGGACTTCTCCGATGTTATTTTTCTTTTCATAGGACAAAATTCCATGTTAGATTTTTCGCATGGTGCTTAACGTGAAATTTGTAGTGCTAAAAGAAATTAGTTTTAATTTGAGTCTGAAATAGTTCCTGCCATTTCACTTCAAAAATGCATACTTAAAAAATTCCAGGAAGCGCTTATTGATGATTTTTCGGAAAGAAAACGCTGGGCTGTACATTTGAAGCAATTATCAACGGATTTGCAAAAGAGTCGTAAAGTTTGCCAAGAACTGGACGCAAGGTTAATTTCTTTGTTCACAGGGAATACCTGAATCGTTTGAAATTGAGATTGTCTGATCATCCATCAGTGCGATTGGGGAAACATTTCCAGTTGTTTTGACCAGTGGTGCATTATCTTTTGGTCAGCTTTTTGGCGATTCTGACATTTTTGCCTTTCTTTGTGTATATCAGTTTAGTGGCTTTCCCAGCAAAAGCAATTTGCATATTATTAGCTTTTTCGATAGGTCCTTGGTGTGTGTTGGGCATCACTTTCGCTTGCCGCAGATTGTTTTTCCTGGATCACGATGAGTTTTTACTTACTGACTAGGAGTTTCACGTGGAAATGACATCAGATTTTTCGGCGAAACACTGCTTGGTTGCTACTTTGATGCATTTATTTTACCACTGTATTTTTTCTCAGTATCTCTGTAGCTAACAAATCTAGCCTGCTTCTTTCTACATGGCCTAGTCCTTTACCTAAATTTTATTTGCAAGTTTACTTAGCGCAATTCCCATTTAGCTTTTCGCCTTCACGTAATTTCATATAAATTTAAGATTTACAACAATTTTAGAAATGGCTTGGAACTGCCTACATCATCTTATTTTTGGCCAATCTATGCGACAAAAATTGAAGACACAGCACCAGCGAAGAGGGGAAGATTTGAAAAAATTGAAAATAATCAAATTTACACAT